ATAACAAAATTATGCAGGCAACAAGCAGAAGTCATACAAAATCATGATAATGAGAATGTTCGCAACATCGGACAAGGCGAAGCCAGACACAGAAAGTATAAGAGGCTTAAACTTGGCGGCGGTCAGGCATACGACCGTTCAAGTGACTAGACTGCCGTGGTAGCGAATACTACTAGAAATAGGATATAATCTGCTGTACTGAGCCTAGACTGACAAGAGGCCTTGTATATAATATACATACTAGATACTAAGATTCAATTGTAAAAAATTGTACATAATGACAATGGACTAATACTGTCGACTATGACTGACAAATGACAGACCCGACCTCTCGTCAGAGAGGGCGCCCTACATGGACAGGACAGTAATTTTCACTTAAAAAGTAATATCTGGTCATGATCCCCAGCCGGGGCTCGACACAAAGACAGACAGACTGACTGACCGTCAGTCGCAACATGACTTTGACTTTGACTTGGTAAGAGAGGGGAGTGAAGCCGTGACTGGACGGAGCCGGGCGCTACCCAATTGGAAGCAACGACATCTGAGAAGGTGCAGTGATAAACTTTCATTCTACTCTCCTTAGTCCGGAAGAAGAAAGTGACCTAATGAGATTGCTGTGCTGCCTACCTCTCTGTACCCCACCCGCAAATCAACTATTGAATGCCTGAACCGATCTTTATGGAAGTTGGTATGTATATCATGACACCTGAGCCCATCTCAACGTCGTACTTAATAAATTCCTACCATCAGGCTCTGCGTGTCTATATGTGTATTGCCACTTATCGTTGCTAGGCAACAGCTTGGTAGGCACGTTCCCACTGCAACGAATTCACAAACAACAGAATAATGGTGAGGTCCGTGTCATGTCAAAGGAGAGTCTGCGAGTCTTTGTATTTCCCTATTGTTGCCAGAACGGCTAGGTAAAAACGAACAGTTGTTCGAGGAGTTGTTTTCTATGCGGTCCGTGTAGTATCAAAGGAAAGTAGGCTGTTAGCTGTTCACAAAACTCCTTTCCTTTCCCAAGGCCAGGCGGTCACTGAGAGTGATAGAGGATTACCCCGCGTCCGCGAGAACCTTAGGCTGTGGTCCCTGAAATCTCTCCCATCGCCTCCTGTTCAGAAGGAACTCGTCACCTGTCTTTCTCAACCACGTGGACAGTGTTCCGCCAATCACGTCTTCACCTCCCCTCTGCCTTCTCCACTCACCCAGTGGCAGTGTTTGCTGGAGGGCACCCTTACGTACAGCAGGTTGTTTATCTGTTTCTATTTGAATTGCGGCAACGTCCAGTGGTAGGAAGATTTGTGAATGAATTGGAAGGGATGTGTAAGGAAACGCTCGTGGCACAATTTAAGGCAGTATCTCCACATTCTCTCGGAGCTAAGGCAAAGTTATCCCTGTGCTTAATTATTAGACACTACGCCATGAAGTGGCGTCGATGTATAGCTCCACCGTTCCTGACCTTGGTCAGCTTGTCGCCACGGCCACTTTAGCCCCGGGGAAAGAGCGCCGATACCCATTGGATAGGAGGCTGGGTGGGCATCAGAGCCAGTGTAGAGGACGTGAAGGGAAGAAAAATCTTCTGCCCTGTGCCGGGACTTGAACTCCGACACCTCATTCGTCCAGCCCGTAGCCAGTCGATATATTGACCGAGCTATCCCGGATCTATTTAAAAACTGTGTTAGAGGACCTGAGGGGAAAATACGAAAACCCAAGTCTGAACCCATGACCCCCCCCACACACACACACACTCACTCTCCGACTTGCTGCACCCGGAGCGTCCTGACGACTCCGGCCACACACACGTCCCCTGGTATTCGTCGAAATGCAGTCCCGGCGTGCAAGGAACTTCGGTGTACTCCCCGTCGATGCAGTTGTAGAAGAGGTGGCAGACGGCCGGGTCCGGGTGGGCGAAGTACCCGTTCTTACGGGGGCAGTGCTGGTTCCCTTTCGGGGGCTCTGCAGCAACAAGAACACAATTACGAGACTGCAGGCTATCTGTCCGTTTGCGCCACTAACAGATCGCTTTATTCATTGATGTATAGTAAAGAGACCGAGCGATAACGTTCGAGACGTGCTCGGTTAGATTCTCTGCCGGGGCACTGCACAGTAGCCCCTTCCATTTCAGAATAGGCTCATCATATCTTCCAGCGTTGCCTGGCATCGGCATGAGATAACCCACACACTGTTGAGTAACAGTCACGTTCTTCTTCGCTCTGACGTACTGAGCGAACGTCCCTCCCGCTAAGTCGCGCTAACTCACTGCACAGTTGGCGCCACTCTCTCACACAACTCAAGCGGTTAGGCGGCGGCCCGGGTTCGAGCCCAGGCCAGAGTCACCTGGGATTTGTGGCGGACAAATGACACTGGGGCAGGTTTTCTCCGACCACTTCGGATTTCCCTGCCAATTCTAATTCCAGCGACTTTTCTACACAACCGGGGCGAATACAATAGGCTAGTTAGTGCGAAATGGACTCAGTCTCACCCCACACCAAAACTTAGAAGACTAAAAAAACACTAAACCGTATACACCGCACACAGTTCGCGGTTAGGCGGAAGTGACGTCTGTGTGTATTCGACAAATTCTGAGACTGTAATATGTTCTGTCTTCTTTTCTTTATCTTTGGTTTATTTCAAGAATTGGAGTTGGGCCGGGCTGGACTGCTGAGGAACCAGGTTTCCATTCGCTGCACGACACTGTTTTCCTCTCCTCCACAGCATCCAGACTGGCGTTTCGATCCCATTCGTGCTCCTGTCCAATGTGGGGGGGGGCTCCACGAAGTTAAAGCGGCCGGGCGTGAAATTGACCACTCATCTCCATATACTGCCTATATGTGGAACCATACCTCCGCTCCCCCATACTTCTTCATGGGAAGGTAAATTTGTCCCTGTGCTTAATTAATTATTATGCTATGAAGAAGTATGAGGGAGTGGAGGTATAGCTCCACAATTCTTGAACTCGGCACTATAGGGAGGTGAGTGGTCAGCTTCACTCCCCTGCAGCTTTACCACCGGAGAAAGAGTCCCCCGTACCCACTGGAAAGGAGGCTCGGTGAGCCCCAGAGTCGGTCTGGACACCGTGGAGAGCTGTACTCTGTCTTCATATAGAATGATCCATTTCAAATCTTACCCTCATGAAGGTAAACAAAAGTAAAGCGATCCCTGTAACAAGCCGTGGAGGCCCGCAGAGTTGTGAGACGTAGAGGTTCCCACATTTTATAGATACTCGGCTCACAGATAGCTGTGAGGTTGTCAGACTTAACGCGCTAGCCGCCCTTTCCACCCAGGAAAATTGCTGGCACTCATTTCTGTTAGAGGCTGGGTCGAACCCAGGGTCATAGTGCAGATGAAAGAATTTGGTAAATTTAAAAATCCAATGACCTCATCGGGAATTGAACCTGCGATCTTCCGACTTGTAGCATAGTGGCTCAACCAAATACACCACCGCGTGCCCCAATCTTACCCTCATAAAATATTTATTTGTGTATTTTACATCTCACTGAACACATAACACATGTGAGCGTTAGAGATCACTCTGACAACATTGCGATGGGCATGCGCCATGGCATGAGCCACGCTGTGTATAGACTCTGCTCTGCTGTCTCATCAGAATTCGCGTGGCGATTTGTGTTTGTTTGTTTACGCTACGTTAGTTAGAAGCAGACAAGTGGGACGGAGCGTCCAGTTACTCACGAAGCTCTATCCTGTCACCGCAGTCCACATTAAAGGGTTGGTCACATTTGTTGACCTTCCGGTTGAGGGGGTCGAACATGAGACCATCAGGACATAGCTTCTCCGTGGCGACCCCATCGTCACACTCGTAGAACTTGTCACACTGTTTCGGATCCTCGAACTGGCCGTACTTCTGTGGGCAGGTGAACGCCCCGCCTGAAACACGAGGCAGAATGTACATTACCGTCAACACACGCTTCATTCATCTCTGGTTTATTTAACGACACTCTTACGTACCTTAAACCAAATATGTAAACGTAAAGTTGTCCCCGCCGGTTACGGTAGCCGAGCGGTCTAAGGCATGCACTGTCTTCGCTCGCTCGGAAGCCGGGATCGTGGGTTCGAATCCCACTCAGGGCATGGATGTTTGTGTACAGGTAGAGGCATTGCGACGAGCTGATCACCCGCCCAAGGAGTCCTACCAAATGTGTAAGATCTAGAAAAACCGAAGTGAACTGAGAAGTTCATAGAGGTAGGCCTAGGCCCACTGGGGCTGTAGTGCCAAGGGGGGGGGGGAAAGTTGTCCCCTGTGCTTAACTCATTAAACAGTACTCAATGAAGAGATCATAATGTTTAGGATTCTGGACCCTGCTAGAACGGAGGAAGCTTCAGACCCAGCTGAGAAACTGAGTCTCGCCTCTGAAATCATATCTCCAAATATCCAAATTCACTTTCCTAATGAAGGTGATAGCGCAGTACCAGGCTTTGCAGCCCCTGTAGCGCCGACAGCAGGCACCGACTAGAGGAACTATAACCTCAGACCGAAAATACTAAATACCAGGCCTAGACTATTTCTTGAAACATGGCAAGAAACCAGGGATCCGGCAAGCAAACCGGCAGTAAACCTAGCCACTCGAAATAGCAGGAAAATGAGGAAACTGCGAAGTAGATCCTCAAGCAGTAGCGCCTGTTGCAAAAGCCTTCTACAATTCTAGGCCAAACGACAAAGCCAACACAATTACAGACGGCTTAGGAAACCGGTTCAGAGCTCATTACTTGTGTGACTGTGGGCATAGACGACATGTTGAGGCTGGTTGCCCTGTTCCAATATGGAGTACACGTGTACACACTTTCCATCCTTGAGCAGGTCTGTCTCAGTGGACACAGAGCATGAAGAAATGCTCACCCAGTAAGATGGAGTTGTCCTTCGCTGCTCTGAAGACAAGTTGCATCGACTCGCTTTTTCGTGTTCGGAACACTGTTCTGTCCGGGCGCGGTATTCAGCCGCTCAGAAAGTACGCTCCGACGCCTTTGCAAAAGCCAGTCGGTTAAATGGTTGTTATTTCTTGTGAAAAACAATGCGAAACATATGAACACACTGTTAGCAGAATGCAGAGGTTTCAACGTTAAAGTAGGTTGTGCAAATAGTAGGAACCTGCGTGCTTCGAAATAACATTTCCCAAACGGTTTATGTTTCGCACAGCTGAAGGTCCGGACGCCATGGATAATCGTCGGGATAACGACACGCTGGAGGGCTGGGGTTCGATTTCCGGTAGAGGCAAGAGATTTTCTCTATTCCACAACGTGCAGACCTGCTCTGGGGGCCCATCTAGCCTTCTATTCAATGGGTACCGGGGGTAAAGCGGCCGGGTCGTGAAGCCAACCACTCACCTCCATCTACTGCCGACGTCAAGAATAATAGACCTGTACCTCCATTCTCCCATAGGCCTTCATGGCGTGATGTTTAATTAATTAAGCACAGGGACAATTTTACGTTTATTGGACGCCGTGGACGGACATTTAGAACGCCCGTGCAACACACAGGCAGCGCTGTCCTTCATGTCTACAGCTTTCCCTGTACAGTCTGTACAAAAACAGTTGATATCAAGCACGGAGTTGGTTCTCACGTCTGTTCGTGGAATTCCTGTGGCTGGCCTTTCGCTTCTCTCCGCGTCACTTCGAGCTGTGCCAGGAAAAAAATCCAAGAGATGTGCAACAGGTACAGCCAGGAGCGAAAGATTCGCATTTCAAGGTCCCAAGTTTCATGCGAAACTTGCTTTCAAGGTTAAACCATGGCGAGGTACGGTCCCCTGTACCGCCCATGGCGTTCCCTCAGCAGGTTCAGGCTTCGCTGTGCTGGACGAACACCCCGACAAGTGGAGAAAATAAATCTGCCCCCCCCCCGGGCCTCCGGATCTCAAGCTCCATATATGACCGTGCCATTTCTACAAATTTGATTTACATTTCTACCCTGAAGATGGAGACAGCGGTTTATTCCGAAACTTTGGCATCTACCTCCAAGAATACACGGCGTCACATTGCAGAGAAGTGTGACATTCATAGCCTTTGCCTTCAGAACCTCCATCCTCACCTCTGCCCGGAAGCCGGGATAGCTCAGTGTGCATAGTGACTAGGCTAAAGTTTCGTTCCATTCACACAAAGCACGAGGAGCATCTAACCTCTTGTCCAATGGGCACGGAGCAGAGCTCTTTTCCCGGGGATAGAACGGCCGGGACATGCAGGGGGGCACTCGCCTGCACCCAGTGCAGAGGTTAACGTCTTCAAACAGCTGACGTTCCCTTTCCTCTGGGTTCCCGAACTGTCTCACATCTCGGCATGCGCCGCGTAGAAAACAACGCTTCCATTATTGCTGTATTCTAATATTTCCGTGGAAACGTGGTTGTCTGCGAAACTGTTACTTAGCAACGGCTGTTGTATAGTTCCTTATTTCGTCGTCGTTTTCTAGCAAATGGTCTAAATGTCACGGTATCTTGTCCCTTACGGTATCTGAAGGTTCATCACAGTTCTTACAACAGCCCGCCACCGGACCCTATCCTGAGCCAGATGAATCCAGTCCACATTCCGATACTCTATTTAAGATCCACTTTAATATTATCTTGTCATATACGCCTAGCTCTACACGAGCCTTCTCTTCACTGCAGAATTTCCGGAAAATATTTCTACGGATTTCTGATCTCTCTCATGCTTGCTGCATGCTTCATCTATTTCATCAGCCTTGACCATATTAGTGTGATAATATCTGGCTCGCCGTGCAGTCTTGTGCAGTCTCCTGTCATCTCACCCCACTTCGGTCCAAATGTTCTCCTTAGAGCCCTATTGTCTGTGCTTTCCCTTTAATATTAGAGGCCAAGTTTCGCACCCATATAGAACCACGGGCAAAATTATAGTTTGTATATTCTGAATTTTAAGAAAGAAGACGAGAAGACGAAAAGCTTTTGGGCTGAATGGTAGCAAGCATTACCCGAAATGTTGTCTGCTCGTAGCATCTGAGTTGCTAGAATTTTCTAGCAAAACTTAAACCTCGCATTTAAAAATTCCGTTTTGTAGGTTACGTCGAGATCAGCATCCAGATTAGAGCGTCGGGAGACAGGACGACTGGAGAATTGAAAAGGACCTGGAAGTTAGCAGTCCTAGAAATACTGTTCTGACGTTAGTGTCTCGAGAGAGCATTGAACCCAGCACCCCCTGAATGCGTCACGGCTGTCAGCCTAGCTGTCTCTTTCCTTCTGGACTTCCCACCAATATCTCCCCAATCGTGCTAGATGCCCTGTCCATCTGATCTTCCTTGACTTGATCATTCTAATTTTATTTGGCGAGGAGTGCAGTTTATAAAGCTCCTCATTACAATAGATATACTCTTATCGAATTCTTAACTGTACGGACGCGATATTCGTGGATTGTACCTAAACACGTAAATACCACTGTGCATTGCGCTTGCGCCCTAACTTTCTCAGAATCTTCATTTCCACAATTAACTTTTAACCAAATATAATAGTAACTAAAACTATATTTACATAGGCTATTTTAATCGATGTATTATTACATTTAAATACTAGTTAGATCAGTCTAACACAAGGAAGTATTGTTCATTTCAAAATCTCGTCAGTGTCACAGACAAATGCATTTTATATGAAGGAGATATTTAATGACGCTTTAGATTAGTTTCTTGATTAGTTTTTGATCTAGTGGATTAAAAAGAGGCTACTTTTGTCAGTAGATGAAACATTGTCAGCAAACCAAACACGCTTTCATTTGTTACAGCTTATATAACATTCATGTTTTCACTGCCTTCTTGAATCCCCGGGCAACATTATCAGAACACGAAGATTTTACATTTCGTCTTTTAAAAGAATCGGATTTTGACAATGAAACAAATTTAAGAACCCTTTACCCTTCCATATTTTCATACTTGTCTAAAATCCAGAGAAGTCATGAGTGTGTCTGTGTTCCACTGTGAATGGATTCTAAACTTACTCGCTACGTTGATAGTGGAGACCGCCGCGAGGAGCAGCACTGAGCACGATGTATACAGCATGACGACGCCAGCTGGACTGAACATATCTGCGGTGTGTCCGACAAAACTTTCCAATCCTTCCCCTGCTCACTTGCCGTTTCCCTACAGGTCCAGTTATATTACAACAATGTTCAAAAACGGAAATCGTTGTTTATACACGTAATTTGCAGACGAGATCTGTGATGTTCGTAATGCAATAAGAGGTGTAAAAATGGCGTGATTATTCTGCGAGAGAAATTGTGGGGAGAGATATATGGGGAAATAAAGAAATAATGCAACAGAGCAGAATCCTTCTTAAGAAGCTAGCAGTCGCTTATTTGGTCACGCAATTTACCCACCTTTTGTGAAGCCCGAATTTTCACGACCGCGCTCAGAGGAGCCCCACGATTGGTCCCTCTCCTGAGTCAAATCAACCCTGCCTACAACGCTGCACGCAGCTTCTTCAGGCTCAAAAGAAAATGGGGCTAAAATGTTGCAATGTATTCTTGAATAATGGCCTGCCTTCTGTTTGTGTTTAATTATTGTTTCAGTTGTCTTAAGCTTGCGCGTTTTGGGGGGAAAGGAATGCATATAGGATATTGGTGGGAAAGCCGGAAGGAAATAGACCACTAGGAAGACCAAGACGTAGGTGGGTGGACGATATTAAAATGGATGTTAGAGAAATAGGATGGGTAATGTAAACTGGATCGATCTGGCTCAGGATAGAGACCAGAGGAGGACTTTTATGATTTTATGAATATGGTAATGAACTTTCGGGTTCCATAAAATGCTGGGAAGTTCTTGAGTAGCTGCACAACTGGCGGCTTCTCAAGAGAGGCTCAGCTCCATGATGGTAGTCAGTTTTTTTAGCTAGTTAGTTAGATTTGAGGTTTTCACTGCGGCGACTCTGAAGAATGCCTCATTCTGGGGTGGGGTGTAGCACCGTGTAGATATTGTGTAAACCGACGTTCAATAGGAATGTATCGCCTCATTCTTCAGGGTATTTAATAAAAAATGTGTGAGCCAGAAACCAGCGTGAGCAGGTGGCTTCAGTCTGCATTGTTGTCTTAGTTTTCGTCTGTTTCGCTGGATATCTTACGGTTTGTTCCCAAAATAAATATATCATGGAGTAAACAAGTTAGGAAATGTATGTGTGTGGCCTAATAATTGTGGAATTTTCGCTCCTGTTGGTTTAATTACGTCTAAAACCTTAAGACAGACGAAAGAGTTGTGCTGGACACGGCATATATATTTCATCTTTCTCAGTAAACCAATTCTTAGGATTCTCACTTCACTTTCTCTGCTTAATTCAGTCCATATATTGAATTCACACTTCGAGGCCCTTTGTCTCTTCTTCTTATTTAACACTACATGTTTCGGCCTAACTGGCCATCAACCGTTGTTAAGAGTACAGATGAAAACTGCTGCTTTGTTTTTACACTCTTGTGCTTTTCATTTTACGAGCTATGTAAAATGCTTATAAAAATCATTTTTAGGTTACTTTTCATCGTAGTTACTTGCAAACGTGACTTGGTTCTGGTGTATGTTTCTGGTGTATTGGCTTCTTTCCTTTTTTGGCGTGTAGACATTTTGGTTGTTTCCTCCCTAAAATTTGGACGATTTTTTTTTTCATTCCGACAAAAAATAGCTAATTACATTCAAGGTACAAGCAGAAAAATCACTTAGGTCATCATGTAAACTGACGGATTTTAAAGAAAGTTTGTTTATATTAACAGACTTTATTAGGAGTTCATTCCATCAGAATGTTTTCAGCGGTCCGGAAACTTCAAAGACAAAGGAACCGATTTCCAAGCCTGATGAAATCCATCGAAATAACAAGGACAAGTCAACAAATGGGACGAACAGCCCAGAAACACGAACATGTTATGTCTCTCCGTGCGGTCGCCTCCTCCATTATCGACTCACTGGTTCCAGTGACTGACAAGCTTTCTAATTCCTCCAGGAAACAAAAAATATATAAAGAGTCTGGCAAATTATGCAGCGCAAAGTGTTTCATTTTGCTGCAGCGTCCCTGAACTTGTTGTGCCAGCTCAGTGCACCTTGTTTGGGCCAGAGTCAGAAGTCACAAGAACACAGATCCATTGCCGATGTGATGACTAAGAACTCCGTTTGGTTGAACTCCTTGTGACAGTGAAAGTCGAATGACACTTCGCAGTGCAACTATGGCGCAGTCCGAAAGGAGGGGGAGAGGCCATTTTGAAAACTGACTGTGAGTGACAATATTGCCAGCTTAAACGGAAACTTCGAATATTAATATATGTTGTTCACTAATCATGGTATAGAGTGATGAGCACATAAATTAATGCCTATCTATCTATATCTATCTATTCCTGTTGGTCCCACTTGAAGCATAGGGCATCCGTAAAACGCTTTGTTTCACTTCAGTTTCTTAATCTTAGACAGACGGTAGGACTCTTTGGACGGCGTATCAGCCAGTTGCAAGGTCGCTGCATGCACAGGACATCACAAGCACAGAATAAACGCACACAAACATTAGTGCCTTGAGTGGGATTCGAACTCATGATCCCAGCGTTCGAGCGGGCGAAGACATTTCATACCTTAGACAGCGCGGCCGGCCACTGTGACTGGAATTTTGTTGTACCGAGATCTGAAAAAGTATGTAAATTAACTTTAGTCAGAGACAGAATTACTTTACGACTGGTGGCTTACCAGCCAATCAGTGCGTCTTGGCGCCAAGCCCTTTGAGGTTAACGACTAGAGATTTTTTTGCAACTGAAATGAAAATTCTCTCTGACGAGAGGATGGTCCTCATATGTAAGAGCCAGTTCCTACTTCACAGAAAACACTGCGTCTCCCAATTAGACCAACCGTTAAATGCTGGATTATGGTGATAGTAGCTGTTCATTTGTGAGACTCGTAAGAAAAACATTAGTTAGCAGCCCTCTGTACAAGAGCTGTACACTTATGCGGTTTCTGTCCAGGAACTTGTAAACGGAAGACGTATGTATGTAGTAGCTGGACAGTGGCCAATAACACAGGGGCCTTGGGTGTCACGCCATTGTCTGAATATACTGTGTCCCTTGGAATGTCGTTTTAGAAACTTATCTTTAGAGAAAGAACGCCGGGGAACTGAACTTTCATGGTCTGTTGCTAACGGTTGTGTCCATATTGTTTTTGCTGATGTGGATACTGCCAGTGCTAGGCGCCTCCCGCTCTGCTTGTGCTTTCACCCGCGGGCCACGTCACGAGCTCCAGTCTGCTTACAAATGGCAACTGTCACTCCGCAACGGGACCCGTGCCAACTGCAGAAACAGGCACTTGTACGGTGACAGGTTCCGGGCTGTTAGTCAGTCAGTCTGTCTGTACTCACTTCATTACTGCCGACTCGATGTTCATATTTAGAGTAAATTGTGGCTCAGGATATGGACCGGTAGAGGAGCTCTTGTGAATACGGTAATGAACCAGAGCCTGTTTTCTCTCGGTTTCGTCAGAAAGTACTCATTGGAGCCCTGCCCGGCAGAGACCAGGGCCTGCTTTTCTCTCGGTTTCATCAGCAAGTACTCATTGGAGTCCTGTCCGGCAGAGCAGAGCCTGCTTTTCTCTCGGTTTCATCAGCAAGTACTCATTGGAGTCCTGTCCGGCAGAGCAGAGCCTGCCTCCTAAAGCGTACATTGGCTCTCGAACTGCTGGGGCTACAGTAACCTGTTCCGTGCTGCTCTCCGCGAGGAGCACAGAGGCTGGGGCAACACGCACACGCTCTGTCTTGTGGGTCTTGTGTCTCGTGTGACTCTGACGCCGGCCTAAAATGAAGGCAGTATGTTCCCCCGAAACGTCGGTCTCCATCTCCAGCGCTGTCAAATCCCTAACAGCTATAACTTAAATAATGTCAAGCATTTACAGCTCTGGAACCGTCTATGGAGAACTCACGATTGCTGATTTTATGACAAAATATGTGAGGTATGCACATGCAATTGGTGAGACAATTCAGGTAGGCGAGCCGGCTCTGGGGCTCACCCAGCATCCCTTATATCCAATGGTATACCATATGCCCTTTCCCCAGCGGTAAAGCGGCCGGGGCGTGAAGCAGACCACTCACCTCCATCTAGTACCGACATGAAGAATGGTGGAGCTATACCTCCAATCTCCCATGCGTCTTCATGGTACAGGGACAATTTTAAGCTTTTCACGACAGTCTAGACGTAATCAAATTATATGAGGTCGACTTTTCCTCAGTCCTTAATACAAATTAATTTAGAAACTTACAGGGTTGAAATGGCGTCATTTCATGAAATGGGGGTTTTCTCTTGTTTTCTACATGACCACACCGTCTCGTGACAATGGACTGAACAAGTTCAAACCAAGAAGACGCTATTTTCTGAGATGTAGAGCCATGTAGCTGGACACTACATGTTTGCCGACTTTTCAGAGGATCGTACTGCCTCCTCCTTCATGGTCCAAGAATAGGGTAAGCAAGAAGCAACTAGTAAGCTCAATTTATTTTTTGGCCCTGAAGATGTAGGCAGTACTTTCCTCCGAAACGTCGGTAAATGTTTGCGACTATATTGCGTCACATCCCAAAAGGTAAGTCACCGCTCTGAGAACATTGAATCCAGCAAGCTGACGATGGCACATCAGTTATCCTTTTTCCGACTTTAGCCCTCTGAATCCTGAAGTTCAAAGGAGTATAAGGTCGCAGAAAACGCATGCGTGCCCCATAAAAATGCCGATCAGTTGATGCTCCTACTCGCATATGAGAACCGAGTTCCCACGTCACAGAAAACGCATTGCGGGCAGGCGGCTGTCACAGAATTCTGATTTTGTTCCCTCCTAAAGGCCTGAGGCCTCTAGTTACTGCTGTCAACAAAATGTAACGGTAAATTGTCCCTTTGCTTAACTACTTAAGCACCACGCCGTGAAGACGTATGGGGCAGTGGAGGTAGAGCTCTCCGTGTGTTTGTGACGTCGGCATGAGATTTAGGTGAGTGCTCAGTTGCGCTTTAACCCCGGGGAAAGTGCCCTAGGAGGCTGGGTGGGTCCCAGAGCCGGTCCGGACGCTGTGGAAAAGAGAAGAAT